TCAGAGAGGTTCAAGGTTTGAGAAGTCAGAAGCAAGTGGGGACGTTTTAGAGAGAGAAAGTAAGGTTCTTAGAGGAGGAATAGCTGCTGGAGCAAGGCAGTGACGACATTTTTCTACAGCATTCGTTTTCATCTTCTTTTCTGTTTTCCAATGAATTCCTTTTTCCTTTTCTCTGTTTTATTTAATTCCATCATGAGCTAATTTGCCTTATAGGTTAGGTGATAAAGTACCTGTGCTGTAACATTGAGGTGTATGCCTAAACTTTGTTTATATTAATGTTTGATTAGTTATTAAACGGAATGGTCCACCAGCCTATGTGACTGCTTCTCCGACAGTAACAATTGTAAACCCTCCCTACCTCTGCTTCACCCCATTCTAGTCAGTACTATATACATGTTTTATAATAGGGAAAAATGTGTATCATTTTAAAGGATGTAAAGTTGTGTCATTTTAAAAGAGAGAAAGATATAGATAAAGGAGGAGAGAGAGAGAGTTGATAAAAAAATAAAGGTGTGAGTCCCACCTCTTTGTGAAAGTGAAAGGATATAAGTTGTATCATTTAAAAGGATAAACACATTTTCCTTTATAATAGTTGTCTATTATGTTTCAGGTTGCATAACGTGTTGGTGTCCATGCGTTACCTTGGCCAAATTGCAGAGATTGTTGACAAGGGATCAACTTGTAAGAAACTCGTTTATGACAACTAATTCGTATATGTTATTATATGAATCCCGGAGGTAGTAGAAGAAGTGGGGTTTCTATTTTTTCATAACAGTTTTCGACGAAATTTATTTTTCGTCGAAAATTTTTGACGAAAAATGAATTCCGTCGAAAACTTCATAAATATAATTTCTTTTTTGATTTAATTTTTCATAACGGTTTTCGACGGAATTCATTTTTCGTCAAAAAATTTCGACGAAAAATGAATTCCGTCAAAAAGTTCATAATGATAATTCCTTTTTAGATTTAACTTTTTATAACGGTTTTCGACGGAATTGTTTTTCTGTCGAAAATTTTCGACGAAAAAAGAATTCCGTCGAAAATTTCATAATCATAATTTCCTTTTTGATTTAACTTTTTATAACGATTTTCGACGGAATTCATTTTTCGTCAAAAATTTTGGACGGAAAATGAATTCCGTCGAAAATTTCATAAATATAATTTGTTTTAATATATATTTTGTAAGAACATTTTCGACGGAATCATTTTTTCGTAGAAAAATTTCGACGGATTATAGTTTTCAGTCGAAAACTTCGACGAAATACGTTTTTCATCGAAATTTTCGTTGTTAATTTCAACGGAATATTTTCCGTGGAAAATTTCCGTCGAAAATTAATACTTTTCTAGTAGTGTCGCTTAGAAGACATTGTTGTTGCCGTTGTTCACATAGACACCAAAGTTGTAGACACCACCTTTCAGGTTTAGTCTTCTATCCCAGTTGAGTCAACTTTTAGCTTCTGTCATGTTTTGGTATCTTTGTTGCATCCTTCTTGTGGAGTCGATAAGGGTGAGATGCTTTCAACAGTGTTTTTTTTTTTTTTTTTTGTTAGCCTTCCAGCTTTCATGTTGAAGCTTTGTGAGGTGATTTTGGTCCTTTCTTTCACGGTTTTATTTTCACATCCTCAGGAAAAAATATATTCCACATATTCGAAGGACATCAGCATTCCTGAGCGATACGTAATTATACAAACAAAAGAAAAAAACAGGCAATATTTTAACCCGGGAAACTTCCCCTTTTTTGGATACCAAACATGGCATAAAAGTTTTCCTAACTTTGCTTCCACTTAACAAATGCCCCTAAGTATGACCGGTCATACTTCAATCAAGAGTATATGACCGATCATACTTAGTGTAAATTGTAAAAAAAAATTGCAAACGGATCATTTCCCATATTTGATTTACTTTTTGTTGCATTGAGATTCCGTCATTAATTTATTGTGATTTGAATCCTGATAAAGTCGCATAATTTTTGGACGAAGATAAAATCATTTTATAAAATATTAAAAAAAAATTAAATAATTTGAAGATTTCTCAGCAATCTTATTTTATTTATATAATATTTTGTTAGAGAAATATAATATAAAACTATTAAAAATTCATCATTTACAAGCTTGAGCTATTAGGTGGAATTCTTACTTAACATACTCTCAAAGTCTCAATGTCCACCTAAAGGACTCTTGTTACTAATTATGAAAATAGTAAATTACGAACCTTAGAGCTTGTTTGGATTCTCTCTTTTTTAAGTTAGACGCTACTTTTAAGCTAAAACTAAAAATAAGAGCTTAAAAAAGAGCTAAAAGTTGTTTGGTTCTTATATACAAATTTTAACTTAAAAATTACTTAAAAACACACATTTCAAGAAAAATCTCTCTATCTTTATCTATTTAAAAAAAAACACACAATTTGTTATCAAAAAAAAAAAAAAAACACACAATTCAAAAAAAGCTGATAAGAGCTTAAAAAAAGCTTCTCCTAGGAGCTTTTGGCTTTTGGCTTTTGCCTTTTTTCTTCATTATAAAAAAAAGAGTTTTTCATTATAAGAGTTTTTCTCAAAACCTAGCTTCTACTTATAAGTTGCTTCTAGCTTAAAAATAAGAGAATCCAAACATGTACGTAATATGGACAAACATTGAAATTGAATCAAAACATATAAGAAATTTATTTATTTTGTTTAAATCTCTCTATACATAGTTAAAATTGTTAGTGGTGGTAGTGTAAAATCTGTGTTATGGGATAACAGTGAAAACATAATCTCACATAGAATAGAATGGAATCATAAGAAACTAGGAAACATGGTTATCCATCCATACTAGACAATATTATTTTTTAGTTTCCTATGATTGCATTATGTTCTTATGTGATTATGTTTTCACTGTTATCCCATAACACAGATTTTACACTACCACCACCAACAATCTTAAGACAATATTGTCCTTTCTATGGTGCTCAAGATTTGTGGACAATTATCTCCCAGTATAGAACGAATTACCTCTATTCTCATTACGGCACTTCCACATAGAATAGCTTCATCAGACTCAACATATGCCTGACCAATCGCACTAGAATAATGGAATGCAAATGCAAAGAAAAAAACTATTTAAAATTCCGATTGACTATCTATTTATAGAAAACGTAAGGTCACGATTGAAAAGACATACTCATTCAAGAATGAAACATACATCCGTTCATCGATGAAATGATGCATCTTTCTAAATCAAATTTCTTATTCATAAAAGTAATTAATTTAAAATAAATTCCAACAAAAATCATACATAATTTTTCTTTATTTAAAAAAAAAACAAAAGGAAAGAGAAAACAAACAAATCAAACTAGCCTATGCCTAGCAAATCACACCAAAGGAGGCGCATGCATTCATTTAAGGGTTGAGAAAATAACACAAGGTACCAGTGCTGATCAACAGTTTGTCTAGATAATCGGTCCGCTAACACCTCACAGGTTGGCATTACATGTGGACTATTGCATTTAATTGCAAATCTAAAAAAGGAAAAAAGGAAAACTTTAATTTAATTTTTTTTACTCTCATGTTTATAATAATCTCATTTCTCCACTATATTGATGCAGAGAGGGATTACATATCAGTAAAAAAAAAATTACTCTCATGTTAATGATCTCATGTTCAGCGACTCTCGTTTCTCACACGTTAGAAATAGAAAATTATGTCTAGCTCCAACTTTCCATGTTGGCTGAACATCTAGCTCCAAATTGGACTCGCATTTTTCCTCTCTGTCTCTAATCAAATTGCCATATTTTCATTCCAATATCATTGCCCTGTCTTAACAGAAGTAGTAATGTCAAGTATCACAATAAGAGCAAACAAAATTATATTAAAATTCCTCTTTAATCATATTAAAATCTCTTTTCATTTAGACCTCCCCATCCCGTATACAGGTCTGGTTATCAATTACCAAAGAAGGGTCAGATTCTCTATATTATTAATAAGGAAGTAGATTAATTTTAGGGGAGGCCACATATTTGATTATGAAAAAGTGTGTATCATTTTAAAGAATGTAAAGTTATGTCATTTTAAGTGAGGAAAATAAATAAATAAAGGAGAAAAGAAAGTAGACAAAAAAATATAAAGATGTGAATCTCATATTTTTATGAGAATGAAATTATATAAATTGTATCATTTAAAATGACAAACATTATTCTTTTTGATAAAATATGCTTATATAGCAAACTAAATATCACTCTCACCTAAGCGTTTATGGGCATGTGACAGTATTTGGTTTTTAATTCGAGGATTTATCTCGTTTTTACTCATTTTTCCCCCACAATTACTCATGCAGAGACAATTGTATGGTATTTTTTTTTTCCAAGGAAATGACAGTAAAACCCTCTCATACTATTATTCTCCCAATCATGGGAAGCAGGACAGGCTAAAAAGTAAAAAGTAAAAAAGCACAAGGTAGCAGGAATTGTTAACTTGAGCCAACGACCACAGATTTTATAGTGACCAAAAAGGAAACTACATGTGGATTCTGAAGAGGGAAAAAAAAAAAAAAGTAATAATGAAAATGCAGTAAAAGAAAATCTGTCACCAAAATCTGATTATAAAGTAACCCCTCTCTCTCTCCATCTATTGCCCCTCTCTCTTCCTCTTTTTCTCTCACACCCACCTGGGAATGCCTCTGTTCAGTTCTGTCTGAGTTTCACTCTGATAAAGAAGAAATATAAGCATTCCTTGGCACCTCACTGTGAGAAAGGTGGCCTTCACAGTGAGGAAAAAGTAGAGAGCTTTTTCTACTTTCCGTAAGTGGGTGTGAAGAGAGATCTGAAATTCTAGATTTTGAATTAACTATCCTTCCTAATATGCAGCTGCAATAATACATGAATCAAAGCTTTGAAAGCTGTGAACCAGTTAAATTGCACTCCAAATCAACCACATTTTTCTTCATCTAAATCCCCTTACACTACCCATTACCCAACCAAGCTTGCTTGTTCACTTGTTTTCACTTGGCTGAGATAATCCAACAAAAATGGATGAAGGCCAAGGCAAAGTTTTCATACCAGACTCGATCCAGGGTGTGAGTTACGATGTGGCTGGACAGATTCAACTGATTTGGGAATTGATCAAAGCGCCATTGATAGTTCCATTGCTGAAGCTTGGGGTGTACATTTGTTTAGCAATGTCCCTCATGCTCTTCATGGAAAGGCTCTACATGGGTATCGTCATAATCCTCATCAAGCTCTTCTGGAAAAAACCAGAACAGCGTTACAAGTACGAGCCCATCCAAGACGATGTCGAATTGGGAAGCTCAAATTTCCCTACGGTTCTTATTCAAATCCCAATGTTCAATGAAAGAGAGGTGAGAGTTCTCTCTCCTTAATTTGTTGTTTTTGTTGGGTTTCTGTTTTTCTGGGTTAATGCAAAAGGAGAAAACTTTGAAGTAAGTTGGTGCTTATTGGTTTCTGGGTTAGGTTTACAAAGTGTCCATTGGAGCAGCTTGTGGGCTTTCATGGCCCACTGACCGTCTCGTGATCCAAGTCCTCGATGATTCAACTGACCCTGCCGTTAAGGTATATACTCAAAAACAACATAAGACTGTTCCTGCGGTTTTATTTGACTATGTTACTGATAATTAATATAGTTGGTATTTTCAGTTTAATGTTGTGTTCGTGTTTATTTATATTTGCATTTATAGCTTAAACTTTTTTTACTTTATTTATTTTATTTTTTGTTTTATTTATATTTATGATTAGAGAATGAATGAGCATGTTATGTTGCATTGGCAGCAAATGGTGGAGACAGAGTGTCAAAGATGGGCAAGCAAAGGCATCAACATAATATACCAAATCAGAGAAAACAGAACGGGTTACAAAGCGGGTGCACTGAAAGAAGGCTTGAAACGAAGCTATGTGAAGCACTGCGAGTATGTGGCAATTTTCGACGCGGATTTCAGGCCAGAACCTGATTTCCTGAGGCGAGCAATTCCCTTCTTGGTGGGTAACCCTGAGCTTGCTTTGGTTCAAGCTCGTTGGAGATTTGGTAAGCCCACTAGCCATTGAAATTCACACTTTGTTTTTTAACAACATTAAATTTCAGTTCGTTAATGCACAATCCAGATATGGAATTTCTAGATTCGCGTTGTCGGTGGTGATATCTCATTATTTAGTGGTTATTTTTATTGCTTTTAACCTTCAGTTTCACACTCCACAACTACGGTAATATGTTGCGGAGTGTTGCCCCCACTTAGAAAAGGAAAATAAAATAAAAGAAAAACATTTTCTTATGTTGTGACTCTGATTTGCGTGCAAAGCTTTTCTTCTCTTTTTCTTTTTTTAATAAATGTGGAGTCTACTATTAGTTAAGTCGCAACACGAGAATTCATGAGAATTGAATTCTCATTCTCATCAACATGATAAAATCAAACTCCTAAAATAAAATAAAATAAAATGAAATCTACCTCTTCTAGCTGCTAACAATCGTCATTCATCGCATACATCATGATTCATGATAATAAAAAATAATTATTATTATGGAAATATGAAAAATCTTAATAGGGTTGCAGGAAAGTGAACATTCATTTTTGGGTGACAGCCAGTGAGTCGATAGAACGGGAACGTTGTGAGGTGTGGAGGGGTAGTTTTGTCATTTCGAGTGAAAGGATTCGTACTTTGACTAATCTGCTTATCTCAGATATTTATAGGAAATGGAAAAATTCTTAAATACTATTAAAGTAATATCTTAATTGTTGAAATTTTTATTAAATTTTAGTATATAATTTTGTATTTAATTTAACAAACCGTATAATGACCTTACATCTTAAATAAAACTATACGTAATACTTTGGACGTACATTAAAATTATTTGAGTGCAAACAAAATGGTAAAGGGGGCAAATTTATCATTTCACTGATGCATCTATTCCAAAGTTCGAAATCCAACAAGCCCACTTCCCACATGCTTTCTTAATATGTTTTATCGTTTTATTTATTTTTCGATTCAGACCCAAGTAGTATAGTGGGTCGTACCATGTGCCCCATGGTGGACCTCGTCCTTGGTTGTTGCCGACACTTCAATCATCCCCCTTGCGAGTAAATTTAGCCCATTACGTGGCAGATTACTGACTGAGTCACGTGAGGACAAAAAAACTAAATTGCTTTCATATACTTTTAAGTAGGATTTGTATTTTTCTCATTTTTTTTAAGATATTAATTTCCCATTAAGTAGGATTTGTATCTTTATACTTTTATATAATTTTATCTTAATATACTTTCATATACAAAATAATCTTAATTATTTCCTAATTTGTGTAGGAAATAATTTTATCTTCTATATACATGTAAAAGTATGTAGGACTCATATTTTCTTTTTCTCTTTCTTCTCTTCATGTAGCTCTCCATGGACCCACACTTTTACGTATATAGGAGATAAAATTATCTCCTACAACACGAGAAACAATAATATTTTTTTTAATTGTGATACATTGCTATTAAAGCTTTAATAAGACTATACATTTGGAGATTTTAAAGCACTCAAAGATTCTACAATTTTAATCCTAAAATTTGAGCATGATATACAAACTAATTGCAAATATCAATTTCCGGATTGATTTTGTTTTGTTTACTTGACTAATTTTGGTCATGGTGGTTGATTTGTGACAGTGAATGCTGATGAATGTTTGTTAACAAGAATGCAAGAGATGTCCCTGGATTACCACTTCACAGTAGAGCAAGAAGTTGGGTCAGCCACTCATGCTTTCTTTGGTTTCAATGGTAATTCATTTTGCTTAATCTTCCCAAACATGTTGAACTGCATAACCTATAAGATAATAAGATAATGCTGCATGCATATCTTCATTACTGATTATTAACACAATTGCTGTTCCATAACATTAATGTAGGGACTGCGGGTGTTTGGAGAATTGCTGCTATAAACGAAGCAGGAGGGTGGAAAGACAGAACAACCGTGGAGGACATGGATCTTGCTGTTCGTGCCAGTCTTAGGGGGTGGAAATTTTTGTACCTTGGAGACCTTCAGGTATACATTCTTTTCTACCATTTTACCCTTATGAATTCAAAAGTTAATTATATATACTGCATGCTTTTAATGGGGGATATGAGGCATTGTTCTGATATTCTATCTGCCATATTTATCATTACAATTTTTTTTAAGTAATGGTGAGTGTTTTTGATTTACTAAAACCATGTGTAGGCCAAAAGTGAGCTTCCTAGCACTCTGAGAGCCTTCCGATTCCAGCAGCATCGATGGTCTTGTGGTCCTGCTAATCTATTCCGCAAAATGGTGATGGAGATAGTAAGGAACAAGGTTAGCCTTTTCAATATTATATTTCACATTGGTGTAGAAAAGGGAGACTAGTAGTTGTTTAGATATATAAAATCATTAATGTAGACTCACCTAACAGTTTAAGCTTTTGGGTTGAATTGGTTCTTTACATGGTATCAGAGCCTCGTGTCTCGAGTTCGATCCTCGCCGCCCCCCACTTTCTCTAGTGGAATTTCTTTCTTCGCACGGGTAGGTGGACCTGTGCATCGTCCACCCTTTGGCTCTCGTGTGAGGGACGTGTTGAGATATATAAAATCATTAATGTAGCCTCACCCAACAACTTGAGCTTTTGGGTTGAATTGGTTCTTTACAGTAGTAGTAAGGGTGAAAAACTAAAGAAAATGGTATAGAAAGAAATTTCCCTGACTTTTCTATGTTTTATTTGCCCACATCTTTCTGCAGAAAGTAAGATTTTGGAAGAAAGTGTACGTTATATACAGCTTCTTCTTTGTTCGTAAAATCATAGCCCACATGGTCACCTTCTGTTTCTACTGTGTCGTACTTCCCCTAACAATTTTGGTCCCCGAGGTTCGTGCTCCAATATGGGGAGCTGTTTATATTCCTGCCATCATCACTATCCTCAATTCAGTAGGAACACCAAGGTTGATTTGATCTTTCTTTATGGACCCTATTTTATTAAAGTTGTTGTCCCTTAATGTTCTTCTAAAGGCCATTTGAAACTTTGACAGGTCCATTCACCTTTTGTTCTACTGGATCCTTTTTGAGAATGTGATGTCGTTGCACCGTACCAAGGCAACCTTAATAGGTCTGCTAGAAGCTGGAAGAGTAAATGAGTGGGTTGTTACTGAAAAACTTGGAGACTCTGTCAATAATAAGAATAAAGCAGGAGATGCTTCCAAGAACAAGACCAATGCCACCAAAGCAATCAAAAAACCTCGATTCAAATTTGGTGAAAGGTCAGTTTTCTTTTCAATGAAGATAATTCTATCTTCATTAATTGGCATCATAATTTCAACTTCTTCATCTCTTTGCCTAGTGTATATGTGTCCCATTTTTGTCGCTTGTTTTGGGGGTTTGGACTTTTCATATACAATCTGGCATTATGAAGGAGACAGGTTCTAGATGACCATGCAAATAAATTAATGATTGCGAGGGAATAATAGATGAGGCACTCTAACCATATAAAGTGTCTAATTTGTGTTAGCCTCATCGTAGTGGTTAAGATTCTTTTGAGTAGGTAAATTATTATATTGACATAAACTACTTAGAAATTCTTATTTGTTCGAAATTCTTTTTCACTTGGCAGATTGGCATTGTTCATGACTTTTCAACAGATTATACAATAACTACTGTTCTTGGCTGTTCCAACACTTGTCACTTGCACATGACACAATATTTTTATACAATCACGTGATTAAAATTATTAATAGAGAACTCAAAATAGAATCACACAATATTTTTGCTAATGTGTATGTTTTCTGTAACTTCATGTTGGACATGAACAGACTTCATTTATTGGAGCTTGGTTTTGCTGCCTTCCTCTTCATCTGTGGATGCTATGACTTCGTGCATGGGCAGAACAACTACTTTGTGTACCTCTTCCTTCAGACCATAACCTTCTCAATTGTTGGATTTGGTTATGTTGGCACCATTGTCTGAAGCTTGTTGAGCCGACATCTCAAATTACTTAAGTTTCAGAGTGTTGTGTCTATATATTTATGGTTTGTCTCCTCTATAAAATACACAGAGAGGGGGGTGGGGGTTAAATTCTTAAAGCAACAAAGCGCTCTACCAAATCTACAGCTAATTTAAAGCTGATTATTTTCATGTTGGGAAAGAGAAGTTCTTCCCAAGATTTCTATGCTTTCTGTCAAGAAGATCCAGACAAATCACAGGCAAAGAGTGTTGTTGAAATGCATTACACAGGATCATGGACGAGCAAAAAGATCTACCAAAATGCTCTTATATTAGAGTGAAAAAGTTGATAATGTTATTTTGTTTGCATAGATTGTTTTGTGACATTTTACTGTTATTTATTTCTTGGTTCCTCTATTTTTTTTTATCCATAGTCTGAGTCAAATAATGTGGTGAATAAAGGTTGAACTTTTTTTTCTTTTTTTTTGGTGTAACAAAGGATGAACTTCTATTCATATTGCATGTCATTAATTTTCGGAAGGAATGGATTTTATTAATTGGTACTGACAATATTGCTATTGGGAAAAAAGAGTAAATAGCCTGGGATGGATAAATGCTTGATAATGATTCTTCAGCCAGAGCCAAACTTGATTTCCAAGACCTTAACGTGTTCTGTTGAGATATATAGTCACACATTAGTTGTATGTGTAACTAATGTGGAGTTTATAAAAGCCTTGGGCACTCCCACCCTTTGAGCTAGCTTTCGGGGTGATGTATCCCAAGGTTCTTAACATGGTATCAGAGTCTCACCATCCCCCACTTTCTCTTGTGGAGTTTCTTAGCATAGGTAGGCTGGGTCTGTTGCATTGTCCACGCTTCAAGCCCAAAGGGCTTTTGTGTAAAGGGACGTGTTGAGATATATAGTCCCACATTGGTCACAAACATTATAAATGCCTTGTGCACTCCCACCCTTTGAGCTAGCTTTTGAGGTGGTGTATTCTAAGGTTCTTAACTTCTAAGCATTTAAAAGCTGCAATCTTTATGATTTCTTACACTTCTAAGCATAAAGCAAGTAATTGCAAAAATTCAGTCGTCCTCAAAGCAATTCTTTTTTAATTGCAACACCAACGCTCCTCCCACAATAATAAAAATAAAAAATCTCTAATATTATGTACTTATATAATAGATGTCTTATCAGGGGAAAAAAGCATGGAATCCGATGTGTCAGTTTTTGTTCATATCCTCCATGCATTCTAAAATAAACACTAGGATAACTGGATAAGGGATCACATGACTTGAGCATATGCTGTTTGTTATGCTCTCTCTGCCTCACTATCAAACATGACGTTCTTACCATCAGTTAGACTTGTGTGTCAACTATCTAATGTTCTTAAGCCAATTGTCCTAACACAACAGGTTCAATTATAACCCAAGGACAACCTTACCAAATTTTGCAAACATGATGATATTCTTAAGCCAATTGTCCTAACACAACAGGTTCAATTATAACCCAAGGACAACCTTACCAAATTTTGCAAACATGATGATATTCTTTTGTGTAAGGAATTAATAAATTGTTGGATGAGGTTATATTAATGATTTTTATATTTCTCTAACGTGCTCCCTCACATGAGAGTCTATTAAATTTAAAAGATTGATAATACACAGATCTACCTGTATTAAAAAATTCCTACATTAATAACTTTTATACTTCTCTAACACATAGCAAAGTAACATTTGGGTTTCACCTAAAATATTTTTTTTAAAAAAGCATCCTTTTGGGAACATTTTCATATTTACCATTATTTTGGGCCCTTTGATGCAAGGATCATGAACTGTCATATTATCATTTGTGTAAACTTTATCCCCTTTTAGTCCTATTTTATCAGCAGGGTGAAATGTGTACACACATGCAATCTAATCAATATGGGTACTAAAATAGAATAAAGTGAGCACGTCAAATAAAGTTTCTTGTGATCATTGGAAAGGTAAACATCAATTTTACCCATTAGTTTAAACAATTAGTCAATGATTGACCACTTAATGTAATAGAAACTTCCAAGGAAGTTTTTTTCTCAAGTGACTTGTCCTGTTATAAAACAGGGTGTCAAAGCAACAGCCAATTGTTTTTTATACGATATCTATGCATAAGGCAAAGCATATTTCTTAACAAAGTTCCATGTCATCAAATTCCTTCAGATCTATTGCGGAGTTTTAATATTTATGAATACAATCTCAGATCTTCGCCATACAATCACGCTGTCCTATTGCTAAGCATTGAGTTATAAGCATTTTGACTTTATTATATAGCACTGCAGTATAGATTCCGGGACAATGACGATATTGTCACTTTTTAGGCAAAAATTTATCTAATTGTCACGTTTGAAAAAAAATTTGTCAAAATACTACGTCACAATCTCGCTAGTCTGACAAGCGGAATGGACTACACACGTGTCAGCGCCTGAATAATCAACCATTCTCGCTTGTCAGACCAGCAGGATTGTGACGTGACATTTTGGCAAAAAAGATTTCAGACGTGGCAATTAGTAAATTTTTATGAAAGGGATGGCAATATGGTCAATGTCCCATAGATTCCCCAACTTGTTATACTAATCAAGTAAGCACTGGATCTCATTAATTGGTAGTGAAAAGATAAAATTTAGATGTTTGTTTTAAGGGGGGGAAATAGTAGTTGCATTCTTCTATTAAGTACAATTCAAGCATAATATCCTTAGAAGATTCATGTTTTTGGAATTATCACTTTAAGAAATTAGTTTAGGGAAGGAACTAAAAGCAAGCTGTGAACTGACCTGTCATGTGATGTGTTTCACGTGATGAACTATTTAAAAAATAGGAGAGCAGGATGGTAATTGTGTACAGTGAGCAGATTGCCAGATTGTTCACTTACATCTATGGCAAAAATAGAAGGCTAATTGTTTTTTAAGATTAATGGCATAGGTATAGTGAACGTATTTATTGGGAAACCCAGAGTTTTTAATGTAAAACCGGAGAGACTATTTAAAGACAATATGTATAATAAATATTACACTAAATATTCTTTTTGGTCCTCAGCAAATTTCACGATGTCCGCTTTAGTTCCTAGCAAATAAAAAGGTCCATTGTGGTCCTTAAGAAATTCAAAATGGATCCATTTAGTTGAAATCGTGGTCTCTCACAAATTCAAAAAAGATCCATATTAGTCCCTAAAAGGACTAAAATTGGTCCATTTTGAATTTCTTAGGAACCACGATGGGACCTTTTTATTTGCTAGGGACTAAAGCGGACATCGTGAAATTTGCTGAGGACCAAAAAAGTATTTACTCTAAATGTTATTGCGCCCTAAATTATGATAGCTCAGTTGGTGTTAGGAAATTAAGCAGGAGGATGAGGGCATGTGTTCGAGCCTCTTTAATTTTGTTTTTGGGAGGAATTTAAAGTCTTAATACCAAGACTCATCTCAAATCAAACTAGTCACGAAACAATGAATCGATTGAAATATATTAAAAAAAAAATGTAATGTGAAGTAGCCGTCTCCATTAACTTCTATTGTCTATTGATATTGTTTGGTAGTGCTCGAAATTAAATCTTCCTCAGCCGGCTTCTTATCACATGTGAAAATAGCAAAAATAATGTTCATTAACCAAATTCTAAAATGAAAAATGATTAGATGCACAACTCTTAAATTTATCGATAAGTTTCAATGGTGCATCAAAATATGAATTTTTGTACATTAATAGAAGCTTAACTAAATTTAATGTTGTGCACTATTCTTTTCCTTCGTTTTGTTGAGAAGAATTATGTTAGTTGTATCAAACAACGAAGGATGCACCAAACATGAGTTAGATGCCATGGTAAGCTCATTGTACTTATAAGAAGATCGAAGTTAAAATCATAGGATGCACCAAAATATTTCTTTAACACCCATGGAATCATTTTTAAATTTTTGAAAATTAAAAAAAAAAAAAATATATATATATATATATATATATATATATATATATATATATATATATAGGGGAGAGCGTTTGGCATATCTACTCTATCCATTGAGGAGTTGTCACTTGGAGAAAAAAATAAAATTTATCTCTCTTCCATACAAACAAGTCAGAAAATATTTAATTTTTATTGACTTAAACTACTAAATCATAGATGAGCCAGAATCATATTAAATATTCCCCCTATGAGACATTATAGGTATAGAATTACGTACACCTTGCCAATTTTATAGGTGCAAGGAAGATCTTGCAGGCCTTTCAAATCTGGACATTGTGGCCCAACAATCTCCCATATCATCATGTTTGCCGAAGCATCCAATGAAAACACCACATGTATAACTTTGCGGTTTTACTGAATCCGAAATATTAGACCAACTTAGCTCTTCTGGCCCAAACATATGACCCAAAAAGCACCCTAATGCTTATCTAAATTTTGAGTTTGAAGTGCGTAGTATTGGATCAGGCCTGATAGTATAAGATCTAATTGTATAAGACTTGATTAAATTTTAATGCTATCCAACGTTTGGTATGGTATTGTATAAGATAATATCTTCTAATATTTTAAAAATTAATATATTAAAAAAAATTATTTTAATATATTAATATTGAAATGATATATTAGTTCTTGAAAATTGTACTTGTAAGCAATATTAATACATCAATCTCTTATCAGGCCTAATCTCTCACCCTTAGGCCGGATTAAGTTAAACATCATTTTGATGTATTAAGGGATCCTGCTGTATAAGCTTATACTATATGATGGTCACACCAAACAACTGAAAATGTCATAACGTATAGTATAAACTTATACTATCAGATCTTATACGTTATACTAATCAGACCCTAAAAGAGCACCTTGGCAATTTGTAAATTATTCATTCACAGAATCACAGCAGATGAAATAACAATAACGCTACAGCTTTGTCCAATAAAAGAAAAATGTAATTATGCGAGTCAATTTATTATCCCAATGACACAAATTAAGAGTATTTTAAAACATTATTCTTCCATTGAATGTATAACACTATTTCTTTTTCACCTTATTAATTAATGAACAGCTTAACAATCGAAGAAAAATAGTGCAAAACAAATGTTCATTAATCATTATGAACCAAAAATGCTGGCTGTGGGGTTCGAACCCACGCGCACTTATGTGCAGAAGATCTTAAGTCTTCCCCCTTAACCTCTCGGGCAAACCAGCTCGATGAAACAAGTCAACAAATAAAACATTGTATCAATAAAAGAGTGTGGATCTGATAGAACCATCTACAAAGAAGGAACTCCTCCCATTTACAAATCCCCAATTCCCCAAACCCTACGTAATAGGAATTGATTCTCCACATCTGTGTTTGTGAATTGAATCTAATCATCTCGTGTGTGTGGTAATGGCGGAGCACTTAGCATCGATATTCGGGACAGAGAAAGACAGGGTGAATTGTCCATTCTACTTCAAAATCGGAGCATGCAGACACGGTGATCGGTGTTCGAGGCTGCACACGAAACCTAGCATCAGCCCCACAATCTTACTCTCAAACATGTACCAACGACCCGACATGATCACCCCCGGCGTCGACGCCCACGGCCACCCCATCGACCCCCGCAAGATTCAGGATCACTTCGAGGAGTTCTATGAAGACCTTTTCGACGAACTCTCCAAATACGGCGAAATTGAAAGCCTCAACGTCTGTGATAACCTCGCCGATCACATGGTGGGTAATGTATACGTTCAGTTCAGAGAGGAAGAACACGCTGCAAATGCTGTTAGAAACCTAACTGGAAGATTTTACGCTGGTTAGTTATCTCATTTTTTTTTAGTTTATTTGGTTTTCTTCAACTTTTCATTGAAAATTTTATTACTTGGTGACAATCAAATACTAGTTGTTAAGAGTGTGTATTGGCCAATAAACTCTCATGTTTTCATGTGAAAATTTTGTGCCATAAACATTCAATCGGTGGGAGTTTATAAGTTTTGTGGAAACCTATCAACAGAAAGGCACACGCAAAATTTTCGCTTCAAAAAATTCTGTGTCATTCTTTTTGAAGTTTGATCATCAACTATTCGGTTCGCATGCTTTGCAGGTCGGCCAATTATTGTTGACTTCTCTCCGGTAACGGATTTTCGCGAGGCTACTTGCAGGCAGTATGAGGAGAATACTTGCAACCGTGGTGGTTATTGCAACTTCATGCACTTGAAAAGAATTAGCAGGTAATGTTTTAACATTGATCATTAAGAATTTATTTTGGGGGGGAGGGGGTGTTTCTGAATTGAAAGCTCAAAATTTTGTAATCTATGTTATGTCCAGAGAATTGAGGCGCCAATTGTTTGGGAAGCATCATGGGAGGCGCAGCCGAAGTAGAAGCAAGAGTCCTTACAGGCATAGGAGCCATGAGGACCGGTCTCATCGCAGCCATAGCAGAAAGTATGATGACAGAGACTATCATCATGAGAGCCGTAGTAGGAAACACCGGAGCACAAGTCCTGGACATAAGAGAGGACGAACGCGCAGCCGAAGTCCTGGAGGAAGGAAGAATCGTAGTCCGGTTAGAGATGGCAGTGAGGAGAGACGTGCAAGAATTGAGCAGTGGAACAGGGAGAGGGAAGAGCAAGAACATGCAAGTAAGGTTAATACTGAGGAAATCAACAATGGGTACACGCAAAACGATAGCAAATATCGTGGGTATAAGCAGCAACAGCAACCTCCTCAAGAGGGATACTGAGCGGTTTATGTTATTATGGTTTGTGTTCTCTCTCTCTTTTTTACGTATTTCTATAGCCCTAGGCAGGAGTTTTTATTCTAGCATAGGCCACCCACTGAATTAATATAGCTCACCGCTTTCCACTGTGCAGGTGGTGCAGGTGCACTGTTCTATGATATGGAATGTGTTTTCTTCTCCCCCACCCCTATACCTTCTTTATCTTTTGGGATTTTCCATGTTTTTTTGTGCAAGATGTTTGCTGTATTAAATGTCTGGACCACTTTATCTATGTTTTCCAAAATATTTTACCACTTTGAACCATAACAACCCTCACCTCTACCCTCGCAAAATCGGGAAGCCTTGGACACTTGGTTTGTCCTTTTGAACCATTTTTTCTTACACAAATCTCACAAGCTAGTTCTGTTGCATTCTTTGGTAGGCTGGCTATCTTCAGTGATATAATATATTGGAAATGAGTTCTTTCTTGTTTCTACTGAATGTGTGAAGTTGAGCTGAAAATGAAGGGAAAATGTTTTTTTTTTTTTTTTGCCTTGCGCTGTTCCTATAAATTTAACTATCCTCTAACCAGGAATTCTTTTGGGTTGTTTCTTTCAAAATCGTTTTTCCTTGCTGCCATGTCATTCATGTTGGTTTCTTCAAATGTGGTGACAGTTTCTTTACATTTCCGTGTCCTTCACTAATTGCAGAATAGTCTTAAGGCATTCTGGCTATATAGTCCTGAAAAAATAAAAATAAAAATAACCTCTTGTTTTGATGACTAGAGGTTTGTAAGCTAGCTAATGTGATGTTTTTTCTCTCGACCTTTTTCTGCAAGAAAATGGGGTGCCCCCTTTCTCAACTGGCTAATTATTAACGTTCAATAACTCGTGTATGCTTATTACCATGGTTGATTTGCAGTTGGTGCATGTATGTATTATTTTACAGTCAGGGACATTGATCACCATCATACATGAAGACTTGTGAACGACCAAACTCAACAGTTCTATAGGGGTTTTTGTTTTCTATGAGTTCTGTTGTATAACTCTTTTGGAATTTGAAATAGCGTTGTCTTACATTATGATATGAGTTTTGCAGGTTCAGGTATCCCTGCGTCTAAGAACCGAGCAATTGAGTTAATTGCAGTTTACCGTGGAATTTGTGTACAGGTTCAGCGTACGCTGTGGGAGGATGTTTTAATGGATCTTTCAGGTTTTGTTTTGGAGATCTTCATATGCACTTTCAGCTGGCAAGTAATCGCGTTAGGATGCACTTGTAGCTGAAGCCTTCTTTCATATGGGTTTTCTTATAATTGCAGGCTGAGGAACATAGCTTTATTTTTCTTTTATTTATTTTTTTCTGTTTCCTTCTATATTAGGATGCTTTCTTACTATGTAAGCTTTAGGTGTCTATTGAAGACCAACCTTGGAACTTAATTATTTGTATGAGCTTGTAAAATTGTTACTTTTAGGATGTAGGTTTTGGACGTTTTGAGCATTAATGCCATGCATGTTTTTCCTTAAATTGTGATGGTGTACTATCACTAACAGACGACTTTATTTGAAAATTTATTTGCTGGAACCCTTCTACAACTGGGTCAAAAAGTCCTGGAGGAATAAACTTTGAAGATTAGCAGTGGCTGCCTAAAAAGCGATAATTTAGATTTAGATTGAGAATTACGAAAATTAGCTTATTTTGTGTTCAGAAATGTTTATAATCAAGATGACACAGACACAATTTCGTAGAAAAGATATGTTGTATAAAACTGAAGCGTGTTTTGCCTTTTGTTCTTCATTTTTTCGTGTTTTGCCTTTTGTTCTTCATTTTTTTTGTTCGACAAGCGAGTGTTCTGTCTTAAAATGCATTGAATTTTCAACATTGTGGTCTGTTACTATTTTCCTTTCAATCTAAGAAATTCTAAACATGCTCGAGACTTCTATACCCTTGGATGAGATAATTAGTTGATTTGGACAAAATACCATTTAATTTTTAGGTTTTCGTTTTATCCTTTAACATAACACAACAAACTTTCCTACTCTCACAACATTTTGTGGGGCTCACATTTTTTAAAACAAAAAAATAAATAAAAATTAACGCACGCAAAACGAATCTCTATAATATTACACAATCACTTTTCCTACAACATAACTCTTATAAAACCCTTAATTTTTTGGGGCAAAATTTGTCGGACAAAATTAACTGATGATCTCCTCCTGTTCTTTCTATGTACTGGGCAGACGTAAGACTTGAATATATAGATTATACAAACGGAAATAATTATCTCATGCAACAGAGATAAAATAATGGGGTTCACTATTTTTCTTTTTTTGAAAAAGTAGTGAACCCCACAATCTTATCTCTGTTGCATGAGATAATTATCTCATGCAACATGAGATTAATAGATCCCTTAAAATATACTAAGTTGGCGTTATACGTACTAATTCAGGAGTGTGAGATAAAACGGTTAATACAACTACAAATGTGCCAGGGACAGGGACAGATTAAAAAAAGGGTTTGGTGTTTGTCATTTTAGGAGAGAGATAGACACAGAAAAATGAAAATCAGGGAAGAGAGAAAGTGAATGATTTTTTTTTAATTTAAAATTTAAATAATTTTTTTTTGTGTCAGTCTCTCTCTTAAAAGGAGAGAATGTTATGTCATTTAAAATGACAAACACTTTTCCCTTAAAAAAAATGAAAAGAACTCTAAAATATTTTGTTATAAAATACACCAATGTTACTATCTTAATTTCTTATATAATTCTATTTTAGCTATTCATAAAAAAATGAAATTCAAAATAAATAAATAAACAAGAAATGTAAATCTATATAAATTAATAATACATTAATATATGAATAAGTATCTTTGTATTCGGTTCAATCCTTTTAATAAAAGATTGGGCTGAGTTTAATTGTAATTAATTAATAGAACGAACAGTAATTATTAGATTACTAATTACTGGATTACAAAGTATCCATTGCTAAAATCATAACTTTAACCAATTTATTTATTTATTTATTCTAACATTCATTAATAAATTAAATAAAGAAAAAAAATATTTAATGTTACTTTATACAACTTTATTTAATGTTCACCAAAATAATATCGTTTTAGGCTTAAAAATTAAAATGATAGACTATTATAAGCCTGAAATAAATTAAAATACAAACACACCATGATTTCCACCCCAGAACGACGTTGTGAACATTAAACAAAGTTATCTAAAATAACTTTAAAAAAAAAAGCCATTAAAAGAACCAATTCTTTTTCTTCTTTTTTTAGTCATCATAAAACAAGACAGGAAGCTTGTGCTGCTGTGTATAAAAGTTGGCCCCAATTTTATTTATCACTTCATGGTCTAAATACTATTAAATACAATATTACAATTTTATTAAAGTAACTGAAAGGCATTAAAGAGAACAAAGGCAAACATTACTCCAGATAAAACTTTAATTATTGAATACAATTCATTACAATTTTATTACGGCTGTAGCTATTTTGTTTTAGATTTATACTTACTAAAGTTATTATAGATAATTTTATCTAATGTTCATCAAAATATACACACACAAAATATATGAGATGAGGTTCATGTGAACTCGTGAAAAGAATAGAGAGAAAAAGAAAATATTAACCCAACACATTTTTTTTATATATATTTTGATGAATATTAGATAAAATTATCTAAAATAATTTTAAAAACTTTAAACTCATTTTGTTTTATATGTTTATTATAAAGACATCATAATAAAGTGAGTTTTCATTTACTAATAAGAAAAAAAGTTACTTAGATAGTTTTGTTTTAAAACAGAATTATATCAGTGTAAGAAAACTGTTATCAAAAAGTAACAGAAAAACCACTTAAGTTATTAACCACCAAAAAAATTACGTTGGCTATTTTACCCTAAAATAAGCAGAAAGATTTTATTAACTCAAAATTCAATTAGTATATTCTAAGGTAATAAAACTACAAAAACTAATAAAAAATTCAAATCTGATTCGCAGATGAAATAAAATTTTATTATTAGATATAACGTAATAATTAGACATTTTCGGGGATTTGCATAGAATATAAATAGAAAAATTAGAAAATACTTCCCATTAAAGATTTGTAGCACCTTTCACCACAATAACTATGTATAACTGATTTTACTCAGTCTTAAATCCAAAATATCGCTTATGTAACCATTTTCATTAGCGATAATATGTATAGTAACACTTTAAAAATGTATTCCAAAAAATAAATTTTATCTACGGCCAAAACATTCTTTTCTTCCCACCGAAAAGTACGACAAGGGAAGTTCCCCATGCCAGTAACAGCTTATAGTACATATATACCCTAAATAGCATAATTTAACAAAAATTAAAATAAAACAGTAAAACATCTAAACACAGTAATATTAGGCAATAATTAGAGCCCGTTTGAATTGTTTCTTCAAAAATCTACTTTTATAACTTACTTATTTTAGAAATGTTTATAAAAATAAAAGTTGTTTAAATTTTTAAAAAAATATTTGACTTTTAAGTTCTGTTTTTTTAAAAACTAAAATTCTTAACTTTCAAAAAAAGTAAGTTTTCAACTTTTCTTTTACCTTCTATTTTTTTCTTAAAGCAGACATTCAAACAAAAATTTTAATAGAAGTGTTTTTTTTTTAAAAAAAAAAATGACTCATCCACACGGGACAAGCAATGTCAGACAAAACTTCCAAAACATGCATTCACCTTAAAACTTCACGGTTTGCTAGGCCAAAAAGCAAGGACAGATACCTAATGTCCTTAGAATACTCACTGTAATACGTAAGCGAAAAATACATGAATCAGTTAAAAAGCAATATCACTCAGCACCATGCTTAGCCTTATTATGTTGTTGCAGACCACTTTCAGAGTTGAAAGACCTGGACAAAGCAACAAAAAAAAGTCAATTATAATCCAACTTACCAAAACTATGTTTTGAGTTTTTTTGGGTAAATAACTATGCTTTGGGTTTTCTTAAAATCATACTTGCTACAACTTTTGCAAGAGATTTGTCCGCCAGACTTGGGAGTCTGGACCTTGGCTTCACTGTTGGGAGTCTTTCCACCTTTCTTCATAGGGTGAGGAGTTGCTGTACGTACAGTTTTCTTCCCATCTATAACACAAATTTAAGCAGAGATTACTGATGTATATTGGAAAGCTATATGCGGAGAATGAATGAGAAGTGAACAAATTCCAATTTTAGGCATTTACAATACATGTGACATTCAAACACTACGGTATGCAAATGTAAACATGAATACATCAACAAATCACTGATGTAAGCATACATTCACATAGATTTAACGCTAAACCAATCATCCAAGAAAATATACTTATCTAATTAGACATCAACGAAAACAGAAGAAGATAAAAACAAAGCAGAACACAGATGATTAATCTCACCAGTTTTTTCAGGAGTAGCATTTTTGGCTTTCTTGGTAGAAACTGGAGTTTTTAATGCAGAGTCATTGGGCCTCTTCTTTCCCAGATCCACCTTCAAAACATAAGATGAAGTATAAAGAGCATGCAAAGTCTTCCCATCACACAACCATAACCGGGACACCATACAACAATATATACAAAGAAAAAAAGAAATAGCAATATCGTTATGCCATTACCTTCTTAGCAGGAGTCTCTTCATCATCATCTTCATCACTCTCGCTCTCCTCACCACTTCCACTATCAGCATCCTCCATCTACGATTATCAACAGAGAAAACAAAAACAAAAAATCAGCAAGTAAAATCAATACATTTTTTTATTGAAGGAAGACCACAACCAAAGTTGACTTACATAGAGAATACTCTTGACTAGATATAAATCCACAGCAAAAATATCTCATTTCAAAATTTTGTGCATATAGGATTAAAGAATATTATTTCACAATAAAAAAATAGATACAGCAAAATGCAAATTAAACCCCAAGTAACTCATACCTCATCATCAGAACTTCCAAATTCATCATCTTCATCAGATTCATCATCAGATTCCTCTTCTTTCTTTGGATCAATAACCTTTACTTGTTTTGCTGATGCACTAATCTTGGCATTAGGTTTTTTAGATTCAGAAACCTTTAAGTCTTCAGCTTTTGTTTCAGGTTTTCCTAATATAAGATAATTGCAAATTAATTACTATGTAATGACATACACAACCCAACAATAAAATTCAGATTAAGTGGAAGAATATACCATTCTCTGTTATAGTCAGTGGCAGATCTTCATCACTATCTGTCCAGATAATAGAAAATGCAACAACCATTGAGCAACCAACTCAATAAAAATGCAAAAAAAAAAACTTAAAAAAAATGTTTAAGCCTCACCAGTAAAGTCATCCTCCTCACTCGTGCCCGGAGAAACACATCAAAAAATTAAGGAAAAATGAAAGATGAAGCCATGATAGTATGATACATTAGCATATTCAGATGAGCTATAAACAAAGTTGTGTTCATAGCCATACATTGGGATAAAAAAACTCCAAAAACACTTTTGGGCATTAAGATATAAGTTAAAAGCTTAAAATCATGTTAAAAATTAAAAAAAACGATTTAGAACAAAAAATGTCAAGGATATTCATCACCAGCATAAAATGTTTTGTATCCACAGAAATAGACACTGGCATTCTTCGAATTGTGGGAAAGCTCAAACTCCTTGTCCAGAACTAATTCAAGAGATATTTGAGGGATTTTCTCCCTGGAAAGGGTTCCCAAAACAAGTTTCTGGTCACCAACTTTCAAGTTAAGAAACACAGGTTCACTTCCTTTGTCTTTCTTTGCCTCACCAAGAGCAGCCTACACAGTAAACGGTCAGAGATTTTGTCCACACTGAAAATAGAAAAGAACAACCACACAAAATCCTAACCTGAGAAAGGTGTATGCATGCCTCAAATTCACTTGGGTCGACCTTAACAACCTCCCCAACCTTAACTTCAGCACCTAAATTACAAACCAACGCATCATATGACCGTGCAATAAATCCTAATACATACTAATTCTTCTAATTGCATTCTTATACATCACATACATTTAACAAATAATAATTAGTCTACGCCAAAATCAAGATCAGTGCGGCAAATAAAACGAACAGTCTTACCGAAAAGATTAAAACAAAGCAACCAACAACAAAATTATCGATTGCATTTAAACGTACACATTTAAAAAAAGAACATAATTATCGTTCAGAGAAGAATAAAAGAGAGTTTAGAGAATAGTATAGAGAAGGTTACCCCAAAACTCCATCGGAAGAAATGAAAAAGAGAGGCAGGGTTTTGGGAGGGAAATCGAGTTAAGAGTGACTAGGGAAAGATTGAAATGAAATCAAGGGTTTTTGTGATTATATATAGCTAACGAAAAAGAAGGGTTTTGGGTTTTGCCCCCATTCTAGGGTTTTTTGAGCTCGCTCACGCTCTTTTCCTTGGGCAGATTTTGGGCCCTTGTTCTATATTTGGGTCTGTTTAACTAACTCGATAATTTGGGCCTATTAGTCATGAGTGAAATTCCACCTCTTCAGTGGGAGTGTCTATGATGAGTAATTGTTTATTTCAAAAGATAATAATTGAGGGTCTCTTTTTGTTTATGAAAATAATGTGAAGAATAATATAGGAGGATGCTGATGTGATTAATTTATATATAAAATTAGAGATGAATAAACATATATTGTCTTGGTTGACATGACAATACTATTATGTGGATCATAATGGAAGCTAAACAGTGAGAAACTAAGTTGTTATAAAATCAAATTGTTAAGTTCCAATGTTTCAATTCCTTCGACTTAACACTATAGAAAAAATAAGAGTTTGGTGTTTATCATTTTAAATGACATAAGTTATGTCATTTTATGAGAGAGATAGACACAGAAAAACGAAAATCATGGGAGAGAGAAAATGGTGGATTTTTTTAATTTAAAATTCAAATTTGCCGTGTCTGCATCTCCTTAAAATGACATAACTTTCTGTCAATTAAAATGACAAACACTTTTTTCAAAAAAATATAAAAAAACTATTTTGAACCCTACGTCAAATTAGCCCTTAATATCTACAACGTTCTGACTCATTTTTTTAAAAAAAAAAAAAGAAAGAAAGAAAACCCAGGTTCAATAAAACGGCGTTCTAAAAGAAATTTGGTGACATGAACCAAGAAGAAATGAAAAAACAAAAATATTCCATGGATTTAGCTGTGGGCCTGATGCACTTTTTTTCTTTTTTGGGTCGCTTGTGAAAATTATCAAAACTTTTTCATGTATCAAATGAGTTTGCGGAATGTCTTACTCAATTCAAATATGCTGTTTTTTCATGAAAAAATTATAACTTTCATTTGATAAGTTGTCTATTTGGATTGGATACCAAAAAAAAAAAAATTGTCTATTTGGATTAACTGTTAATCTACTTTTGGTACCGCTCATTTGGGAAAATCTTTCCCAAGCTACAACTCACGTAAAAAAATGATAAGAAAATACCTTTTCCTGTAAGTACTACTTAATTTATTGATTTCGATACCCTTTGTTTTGTTTCGATTAAGTTGTGATAAGTCATATTTCTCCATACAACTACTCTTCTAAAAGGTATTTATAATAAAGAACTGGTTTTGCTCTGCCATGACTAAGGTAGTTAAAGAAAATCAAGAACAATGAAGAAGAAACGTTCCCAGAAGGTGTTAGATAGCCTAGAGCTTTCAAAGCTTTGATAGCATCTTAGAATTCTTCATTATGGAAAATCTGATCATATAAAGAAGTTCTCACCATATATATCGAGGTGTAGAACTGATGCAAAGCAAAGAAGCAAAAATAAAATAACAGAAAGGGTAACGGATACTCTAACAGCCAAAATAGACTCTAACAAAATAACAATAAATGGTTAAGCTCATTAATAAGAAATGGTTAAAGCTCATTCATCCACATGCTCATTCTGTTTATCAACCTATCATTCTTGTAGCAGCTATTAGTATTAACCACTTCAGCTTTTTTATTCATATTAGGTTATAGTAATATTACGAGATGATTTTATCTCCTACACACATATAAAAATATACAGGGTCTATTTTTTTATCTCTCTTCTCTTAACATTGTCTCATATAAATCTCACATACTTTTATGTGTGTATAAGAGATAATTTTATCTCTTATGACATGATAAACATCAAACCCTTACATACAATAATATATCGCAGCCAAAGAATAATGTTTCTTTAAATATATAAGTAAGAGTATGTCCATTATTAAATTTTAGTGAATTAAAATTATAATATATTCTAAATCAAATTAAAGGTAACTATAAATTATTTGTATATTTTAGAGAGAAATGTATTTTATAGAAGATTAAAATATGTTTTTTTGAAAATAATTTAGTTTTTTATTTTATCATTTCTAAAAAAACATTTTATTATTTCTCGAATTTTTTTTTTGTTAATATATGCTTGTCATTTTCGATTTGATTTTTGAAATTAATTGTTTAATTTGTACTTTTAAAATTTTCAGAAAAAAAGAATTCTAGAAGCGGGTTTACTGTACCAACCTTTTGACCCGAGTAACAATAGTACAATGTCTTAATCATAAATTTTAAGTTTTTTGTATTCGAAGAATTATTATCCCCTACCTACCTTATAACGACGAAAAAAAAAATAGAACTAGCTGCTATGTTCCGGATTAATCGTCACACTTCCAAAAATATGAGGGGCCCATTTAATCGGTGATCCACTATAGTGGGCCCCACACCATCCTTCAATAATTTTCTATCTGGTCGAACGGATAAAATTTTCCGGTTTTTTTTTTCCTTTAAAAAAACAAAATGTATCTAAATAAATCATGCTATGATTATCTGAGAAAATCATAAACATACAAAGATAAATCAACGGTGATGATTTTATAAATATCTATTCAATTTTTTTTCTCTTTTTTATCACCAGTGATATGCCTTTATATGGTTATGATTCTATCACATGTCATATTTTATTTAACATGAGAGAATTCACTCCCTTTAAAAAAAAACATACACTCTATTGCAGTGTTTTAAAAATCGGCCCGATCACCACTAGGGTTAGCCTAGTGGTGTGGGGTGTGTGTGTGTTAAGAGTGTGTGTAGTGTAGGATGTTGTGTTCAATTCCTTGTAACTTCCAAAAAAAAAAACGGCCCGATCATCGACTAAGTCTAGGTAATGGGTCACTGATTCAACCTGCGGTCACTTGTTCAACTGATGTAATTAAATTATCTAATAAATATATTATAGGATGTATTTTGACTCTCAATTGAGGGTAGCCTAATGATAAGTAGTAACACTACTCACTCCCACAGACTGGGTTTGATTCCCAGCCACTGTCAGTTGGGGTTCCATTTGACCCACGAGTCACTGAGACTTGGCTAAGTCAATCGGTCGAAACTGGTTCAACTGCATGACAGATCCAGTGGTCAGCTCATCTGGTGCCGTCACCGTTAAGGATGTAAATAGGTCAGATTAGTCCAGACTTTGGCTTTGATAGCCTAAGCCTATGTAAAATATTTAGAGTCTATACTAGCCTATTAGTATATTACAGGCTTGATTTATATATATGGTCTGAACTATTATAAAAAACTAAAATGCCTAACACGACCTATAAGGCCTACTAAGTTGCAAACTAAAATTTATAGGCCCAAACCAAACTAAAAGATAAAATATAAAATTTCATATTCCTGAATATCACATGAAATAACGTTCATAAAGATCACATAAAAATTTCATATATGTGTATATACATAAGGTTCACTTTTTCTGCAGTCAATGTAGATAACTTATCTACAGTGAGCCTAAAACGACGTCGTTTTGAGACGAAAATCAATGTGTTTTTGTAATTATAATTTATTTCAGGGTTATAATAGTCTTTTTCATTATAATTTTTAATTTTTCAACAAAAAACGACGTGATTTTGGGAGCGAATGTAGATAACTTATCTACATTCACTTTAGAAATATTAAAGCCATATACATATAATTAGCAGTTTCTTTACTAATTTAATTTAATATTATATTTTAAATTTTAGATACATATTTTTATTTGTTAAAATAACTTCAATCTTATTATTTTGAAAATTAGTATTACAAATTATAATATCAGAATATGATTTTTAAGCCAGATTTTTTTAAGTGAGCCTATTTTCTAATTTTTAAATGGACTTTTATAAAAATATGAACATGTTCTATTTTTTAAATAGAGCAGGACAGACGAGGCCTAATGTAAGGCAAACTGTAGGCTCCTGATAGGTCGTCTAATCCATTTACGCCCCTTTTTATCGGGTTATTGAAATCGGGGTCAACCCGACAAGTCTAATCCGGGTATGCTTAAATATTCACAATGCAAAAGAGTTGTCGGAGCAAAAATGTGAGAAAAATCAAAAAAAAATTAGGTGGGAATAAAAAGGAGATGAAATATCTTTTTGTTGTTGTTGTAATACATCTGTTTTTTTTCAATTTGGAGAATGAAGATGCAGGAAAGGCGTTGAAAATTCAGACGTGCTTTACTTGTTAATATGTTTATATTTAAGGGAAAATTATTTTCATGTTACATGAGATTAATTTTTTCTCTTACACATCTTTTGATAACTGTGCAGTTTTTTTTCAGGTGAAGGGACCCATATATTTGGCTATATGACATGAGATAACTTTACTCTTTTAACGCAAGACTAATAACACCCTATATTTAATTACACTGTTATGTAATTTGGATACATGATTAATTATATTCTAATGCAAAACATAATTTTATCCACTAAGCAACATATTTGTCAAATTATTTTACCAATGTCCATTTTAACTCAAATATTTGCAACCCAATCATCAATCAATAAAAAGAAACTCCAAACTTTATTTAAAATAAATAAATAAATTCTAAACTTATATCCTCTAGCCCATGAAATTAGTTTAATGGTGTAGTGTTTTACCAAAAGGGAAAAAAAGCTTAATGGTGTAGTTGGAGGTTAACATAATTATTTTTATTTGATAATATTTTAAAAAAATTTAAATCCTAATTATGAAGGTTTATCATCAGAAACGCGGAAGCGCGTCTACCGTTGCGACGAAGAAGAGAGACACTGTTTTGATTACCTGGGGTGAAGTAGCAAGTGTGATAATTTCTCACGTTCAGTTCTCTTTCTTAAGTCTCACGATCTGCAACAACGCACCACGAACGGTCGTAATTCCGCTCTGCCTTTGATCTTCTGGGCTACGACTCAAGGGGATCAGGGGTCGTGTGGGCAACCGTTCAGATGATGAACGTCTGTCTCTTTGGTGTGTTTATGATGTCTGTAACCCCTGTGGAGGCACTATAGAGAAAAAAGAGTTTATATACCCTGCCCAATCCAAAACTAACCCTAATTCATGGGTTAAAATTAGACTTTAGGCTCACTCTCACTAAAGTTATTGGGCTTAAGTTAAAAGAGCATGTTAAACCCAACAAATTATACTGATTTTCAAATTTAAAATGTAAAAACTAAAAAGAATAAACTGACATGCACTCACCTATGATTATATTTCTTTTACATATTTAACAATTTAAACTTTTTTTATTTCTGCAAAAAATCTGTCTCAACTTAGCTGATTGATAATGTGATATTTATATTTAACTATTACGTTCATTTATCATCGTTGAATTGCCGTAGTGTAGTATCATAACTAGAGGTGGCAAAGTGGGCGGCCCGCCCCGCCCTGCCCCACCCCGCCAAAAAATGAGTCAGTCCGCTCTGTCCCGCTTTTGAAAGTGGGCTGAAAAACTCAGCCCGCCCCACCTCGTTTGGCGGGTTGGCCCGCCCCACCTCGTTTGGCGGGTTGGCCCGCCAGCCCGAGCCTATTTTACAATAGGGGTGTTCATCAACCGATCTAAACCTATTCAAACCGCAAAAATTGATAACTGAATAAACCGAAAACCAAAAAATCGAAAACCGAAACAAAAACCGCAAATTTTAATTGGATTGGATCGGTTTTCGGATGGGTTGATGAAAACTGATCCAATATATTAATTATCCTCTACCTACTTGTCCTTTCTCCAATCATAGCCCAAAAATTTCTAAACTCAAGACTCATTAACTCATCAACTAAATCCAAGAAAAAACTTAGTCACGTCTCATCAACTATAGTATTGTTTACTGATATTTTTGTATTTCAAAAAATAATAATTTATAAAGTCAATATATACAAAAGATGTTATTTGCACAATAATCATGGAACTAATTTTAGGATATTCATAAAACCGAACACCGATCCAATCCAAACCGAAAAAATCTGGATTGGATCGGATCGGATTTGAAAAAAAATCTAAACCGAATGGATGATTACATGATCAAACCGAAGGGATTGAATCGGATGAGTTTTGCTTCCAAAACCGATCCAATCCAGACCGCGAACACCCCTATTTTACACTAACCCGTCTCAACCCACCTATGCCCGCCATCAACCCGCCAAAAAATGAGCTCGCCCGTCCCGCCCCACCCCATTTGACGAGTTGAGCGGGTTGGCCCCCCGAGCCGAGCCCGTTTTGCCGGCTCTAATCGTAACCCATAAGAACTTTTCCATCCTATCACATTTACTGAATTACTGTATTAAAAAGAAACAATAAGTAATTTAAAAAAAAAAAAAAACGAGTGTTGAACTTCCCAAAGTCCAATCTGTTTTTCCTTCTTTTTTTAATCGAAAACGTAACATTGTTACTCTTCCGCTTAAAGAAATTCTAAATAACGTTTACAAAGTTTTAGTGAAAATATTTATGCTTTTAAATAATATAATTTTGTATCATTTTATATGTTAATTATTAAATTTTTTCAATCAATAGGTATAATTTATTAAATCAAATTTATTAATTAATTAATAATTCATAATAAATTATAATTATTAATTCAAAAATCACTAATTAAGATCTAAAATAACACAAAATTATATCATTAAAAAAAACGTTTTACCTAAGTTTTGAATAGAAAGCAATCATCCCTTTTACCAAGAAAAAGAAAACAATATCCCTTAACCGTACGATATGATAACGAATTTATGTTACAATCCTCACACAAATATCTTTAAAAATTACTTGAAATTAATAATAAAACCCGTTCAGCAAGGTTAACCCAAATAAAAATGGAAATGGATTCTCTGTGCCAAAAAAATATGATACGGTCATTTGAAAAGATCACAACCATACAAAGGTAAATCAACGGTTATGATTTCATAACTACTTATTTTATCATTTTTTCTCTCTCTTCCTTTTTTACCATTGATCCACCTTTGTATGATTATGATTCTCTATATGACATGGTCATGTAAATTTCCACATGAGAGGATCCAGATCCAATAAAAATAGGATTTAAGATTTTTCATGTTCTAAAAATTAAATCTATTTTTTATGCATATATAAAAAATGGATTCGTTTTTTCTGCAAAAAAAAATCACTAAATCCAAAACGACATCGTTGTGAAACAAAAATCAAGATATTTTTATAATTATAATTTATTTTGTCATTTTATCTATATTTAAAAACATTAAAGCCTATAAAAATATGTAAGATGATGTAACAAGAAAATAGAAAAAGAGAAAAAACATTCTACGATATAAAAACAATAAATCCAACAAGTAATAAATCATTCCGGGAATGTGAAGAAAGCACTGTTTCCTGAAAAAGAAATCAACCAATCGTGGACATATATAATAAATCATACTCATGAACATGTGAAATCAGTCTCTCGCTTAAATAGTGATCGCATTAACTTCTGTTCCAGAGTTATATAACAATTGCAGACTAAGTTAAAAGGAGATTTGCTTGCCATCGAGATGAGGGGAAAAAATAAATTTAAAATAAAAATAAGAAAATAAAGGATGGACCAAATCATTATCATGTATGTGTTCAAAAATCATACATTGAATTTTTTACAATTTTGCTTTGCATTCCCACAAATCTCAAACTCTCCGTCGCTACATGCCGACCTATTTTTACATGTAACCGGCCATTCATCTTAAAAAAATAAAAAGGGAATTATTTAAACAATAACTAACCAATCAAAGCATATTTTGATTCTATGATCACAACATGAAGTGCATGAGCTTGAACCAAGCAAAACCACCACCACCGCCACGGCAAGCGTCGCTCACTTTGTCGGCTTCTTTGGCACACGACGCATACGACGTCGTTGCGCCACCTTCAGTGATAGTAGTAGGCTTTCTCGGGCAGAGAAAGAAGTTTCTAGATCCAAGTTCTATCAGCTTCTCCTCTCTATACAAACCTTCACATCACAAAAACCAATCAGTTTATGATTAGAAGAAACCTAAGGACGAATAATTAGAGAAATTGGTGAGACTCACTTTCTAGGCTAAACTGTGAATAATGGAGGTCGAAATCGGCGGCGACGGTGGTCCGCAAGATTGGACGGCGACCTTCCTTCACGTACTGCCTCACAGCCGCCGCAACCAAATCGCCGACGGTCGATTCCGGCCTCATCAGAACCTGCACAGGTCCAAGGCTTCCCATCATCGTCACCTTCAGCAGCAACTTCGATGGCTGTCTCGGCAGACCCTCCGGCAGCGTTCCGGCATGGTTTCTGTAGGAGAGAAGGTCAGGAACGGTCTTCGGACGGCGGATTTGGGCAGCGGAGGACATGGTGCTATGGCCGTGGAAAGATGAAGATTTCTCAGCCAACCTTTCTCTCCGGTGATTCTCGATCTGACCTTTCCTGTGGTCCTTAGGGCTTGGCATGGAACTTCCCTTACTGGATTTTACAACCCAGGAAAAAGCAAGCAAGAAAAAATCGAGAGAGTAAAAAAAAAAAAAGGTGGGGGAGAGGGCAAAGTTGGAATTTCAGTACTTTCCGCGGCTTTTGGCTCGGCTGAGTTTTACCTCAATCGGCGGTACCTGACATATCTCAGGCGAGGAAAGCCGAGAGCTGTGGAAGAGCTTCGGCTCTGCGGTTCACGCCGACCGGGAGCTATCATAACCAGAAGGGTATAACCGTAAAAAAGCCGGGCAGAGCCAGATGAATGTTTTGTTTTGATTCTTTTGAAGACAGAAGAAGCTGCACCCTTTATGTTAATTTATACTAAAAAAAGATTGTTTTAAAAATAAAAAAATAGATGAGGGTTGTAACGGAGAATTGGGATTGGAGGGTTGAAAGATGAGGGTAACGAGATTTTGGGTTGACACGTGTGTGGACGCTATTGAATGGATTTTCGGTTTTTCTGAGATAAAGAATGAAGCGTGTTTGTTGGATGAAGAAAGGGTAAACTGCGGTGAAAATATTGATACTTGGTGTACAAAATTACTGCTGCATGACTTCAACCAAAAGAACGTGGGAAAATGTTTTCCACAAAAAAGAAAAAGAAAAAAAAGAACGTGGGAAAAATTAGGATCCTTCGTTCGGACAATGCTATAGGCCACTCAAGTGAAATTGTTTTAAATAAATTTACTTTTAAAATAAATGATAAAAGAATACGTTATTAATTTAATTTAAAATACACTCTGATTTTAAATTTATCATTTCTCACAAAATAAAATTATCTCAAACAATTTCAAAATTACGTTATTTTAAAGGTAGAAAAAATTAATAAATGACGTTTTGATAAAATTCATATAACAAAAACAAAATATTTTTTATTAATTCTCTTAATCCCCAAAATAATAATTTAGGAATTGCTAGAGATATTTTTTATTTATTTATTTTAAAAATAAAATTACTTTAAAAAAAAAACTAGTCTGATAAACTCATTTAAGTTGGGCGTGACCTTAAGTCAATATTGGATAAAATTAATTTTCTTTTGGATTAGGATCTAACTGGTTATAATTCAATTAATGACTAAAAGAAATATTTAATGAAGTTATAATATGGGGAGAGGTTATATTTATCACTATAAAAGTTTATCACTCTTATAACTAACTTAATTTTTGTTGAAACAGAATTAACTTCAATGGCTCATAATTAATTCTTATAATTCTAATTTTTTCCCCTTTTATTCTCTTTCACCTTCTCTCTTGGTCTACAACTCTTTGTTCACCATTTATCTTTTGCCATTTTCTTATCCATAACGATAATTATTAGCATGTACTTATACAGTGGCTACTGCAGGTCTATTGGTGTGGTAGCTACGCCTGATCATGAACCCACTAGTTTGTTACAGGTTAGTTAGTGTGGCTCTATATAAATGAGTGTTCTGTGTATTTGTTGTGCAATGAATATATCACACATATAATTCTCTTCAGCTTCAATGGATTCTCTCACTTCTCTCTCTTACTCTCTCTCTCTGAGTTCCTTGAACTCTGTTATGGTATCAGAGCCTTCTTCCTGAAGGCCTGATTCATAGTATAGTTCATCATGACTTCCGCACCAGATTCTTCTCCACAAGCAAAGTAGAATATGGAGGATCGAGCAACGGAATTCAAAAGTCCACAGTTGTTCAATCAACAGAGTGCAGTGAAGTTAACATAAGAAAACTATTTGTTCTGGAATCAAATTGTTGAACCGATTATTACTTCTCATCAAATGCATCGTTTCCTAGTGAATCCAAAAATTCCACTTCAGTTTCAGTCAGAAGAAGATCGACTTAATGGAATACAGAATCAAGCATATGTGGATTGGATAACTCAGGATTCAATGCTTTTGTCCTGGTTACTTTCAACAATTTCTGAGTCAATCGTTAATGAGATTCTTGGAGTGAAGCATTCGCATGAATCTTGGGACAAGATTCACAAGCTATTTCAAGGTATGATGAAATCTAAGTCACGACTTTTGCGTTCGGAACTTCACTCAATCAAGAAAGGATCGAAAACAGCAAAAGAATTTCTCTCTCGTATTAAAGGTATCTGTGATTCACTCAGAGCTATAGGAAGTCCAATCAGTGATGAAGAACGAACTGATATTGTGCTTGGAGGTTTACCTTCTGAATATGTTGCATTTATTGCTACTGTACATGGACGTGAAAATCTATATTCTATTGAGGATCTTAGCATTCAATTGCTAACTCATGAACAAATCCTTGCTAAGCAATCTGAAACATTATTTTCAGATTCAGCAACTGTTAATCTGACACAGCATGTAAATGAAGTAGGAAAACAGAATTCTACCGATAATAATGGAGTTAACACCTATACTCTTTCAGCTGTTTCACACAATCAAGAACAGAGAATTGGTTTTCATAACTCAGATCACTCTGGACGTTCGTACTCCTCAAACAGAGGTAGAGGACGTTATGGAGGACGTAATTTCAGAGGTAGAGGACGCTATGGAGGTAGATCAAATGTGCAATGCCAGTTGTGCTACAAATTTGGCCATGCTGTCCATACATGCTGGTACCGATATGATGACAATTTTGTTCCTACTTTTCCACCTCCTGCAAATGCATCACAGATGTTTCCTCAAGCTCCGATGAGTCACATACCTCAACCAGGTCGTTCTCTTCAGTATATTAGACCTCAGCATATGCTGCCACAAGCTATGGTTGCTGCTCATGTGGCTACACCTGCCTTGGAATGGTATCCAGACTCAGGAGCTACACATCATGTTACCTTCAATCCTTCGAATTTAATTCAAAGTCAGCAACTCAGTGGTACTGACCAAATCATGATAGGAAATGGCCAAGGTTTGACTGTTGCAGCAGTTGGTTCCTCCCTTTTTACTTCCCCACTCGATCCTCACACACAGCTACACCTGAAAAATCTCTTGCTTGTGCCTTCTATTATGAAAAATCTTGTTAGTGTTAGCCAATTTGCACAAGATAACTCTGTCTACTTTGAATTTCATCCTACTTTCTATCTTGTTAAATCACATAAGTCACACAAGGTTTTACTTGAAGGCACTCTTGACTCTAGTGGTCTCTATAAGTTCGACAACATCAAGTTTCAGCCAAGCTCAACTCAGCATGTGTTACCAATCAGTTCCTGTCTCAAGTCTCATTCCTTGTATTCTTCAAGTTCAATCACTCCTCTCTGTAATGTTGCTTCTGCTAATGTGACTTCCACTTGTAATAGTAATAGTTCAATGGCTAATGATCAACCTTATGCAATAGAAAATTCTGTGTACTCTATGTGGCATTGTCGATTAGGACATCCACACAAAGATGCTCTTAAGTCTGTACTTCAAGTCTGTAATATTCCTTTTCCTAATAAAACAGTTGAGGATTTTTGTGCTGCTTGTTGTATTGGTAAGTCTCATCGGTTACCATCACATCCTTCCCCCACAGTTTACCACAAGCCCTTTGAACTCGTTTATAGTGATTTATGGGGGCCTGCTCCAATGAAATCTGTCATGGGTTATTTGTACTATGGTTCCTTTATAGATGCACACACAAGGTTTACATGGATATACCCTTTAAAACAAAAGTCTGATGCTCTTCAAACCTTCAAGAATTTTCATTCCCTAATTACCACTCAATTCCAACTACCTATTAAAGCCATTCAGACTGATTGGGGTGGGGAATTTAGGGTTTTTACACAATATTTACTCCTCCATGGTATAAATCACAGAATTGCATGTCCACACACCCACCATCAAAATGGTGTTGTTGAACGCAAACATAGGCATATTGTTGAAACCGGTTTGACCATGTTGTCTTCAGCCTCTCTACCTATGAAATACTAGGATTATGCATTCACCTCTGCTATTTACCTTACCAATAGGTTACCTACTGCATCTCTAAACTTTCGGGTTCCCTATACACAGCTATTCAATGTCATTCCAGATTATAAATTTCTTAAAAATTTTGGTTGCGCTTGCTTTCCCTTTCTTAGACCTTACAATAACCACAAGCTCGAATTCAAGTCCCAAGAGTGTCTTTTTCTCTGCTATGCTACAAAGCATAAAGGTTACTTATGCCAAAACTCTGCTGGCCGTATCTTTATTTCTAAAGATGTCTTGTTCAATGAAGGAAAATTTCCTTTCCCCTTGTGGCATAACAACTTCACCTCAATTCCCTCTTCTCCCACTCCCTCACTCCCCTTTTCTGTTTTGCCCAGATACAACTTCCACCAACCCTCTTCTTCTACACATATCAATGCAACAGCAGTCCAATCTAATCCAATTGCTCCTGCTGATCATGGCCTAACATTCCAGTCTGATAATTCTGTTCCTCCTGATCCCATTGCTTCACCAGTAGCTACTTCTTCTTCCTCTCACAGTGTAGGCATTTTACCATTGGCTATGCCTTCTCCTTCTACTCCTGTCATGTCTCCTAGTTTTCCCTCTGATTTCTCCACTTCTTCATCATCTCCATTACCCTCTTCTGTTTCTGAATACCAACCTTCTACTTCTGTCAGTCCTCCCTCTTCTTCTCAGTCCATTATTACTAGGTCTAAGTCTTTAGCCATATCTCTTGTTCTTCTCACTCACATGGAGTCCACCACTGTCAAACAAGCATTGGCTTCTCCTCACTGGTTACAAGCTATGCAAGCTGAATTCACAGCTTTACAGGTGAACAAAACTTGGCATCCTGTATCCCCTCCTCCTGGCAGAAAAATCATTGGATGCAAGTGGGTTTTTAAAATCAAAGAAAATTCAGATGGGACCATTAATAAGTACAAGGCCAGGCTAGTTGCTAAGGGTTTCCATCAACAAGAGGTTTGATTATATCGAAACATTTTCTCCAGTTGTTAAGCCAGTAACCGTGAGAATCATGCTTACTCTGGCTCTTACTTGTGGCTGGCCCTTGAGGCAGCTGGACATCAATAATGCCTTCCTTAATGGTGATTTGGTTGAAGATGTTTTTATGCAACAACCTCCAGGTTTCGAATCAGTTGATAAACAGCTAGTTTGCAAGTTGGATAAGGCTCTTTATGGTCTCAAACAAGCTCCTAGAGCTTGGTTTGATAAACTCAAACAGGTCTTGATTCTCCTTGGTTTCAAACCAAGTCACTGTGACCCTTCTCTGTTTCTCTTTTGTCAGAATGGCAGATGCATTTATATTTTGATTTATGTAGATGACATCATTATTACTAGGAATGATACCTCCTTCATTAATCAACTGGTCACTGATTTAAATTCTCAGTTTGCTCTTAAGGATCTTGGGGCCTTAAATTTCTTCTTGGG